ACCTCCAAGCATAGCCCTCCTGGGAAATTTTTACATCCAATTCAGAGGGTAGTACTGGATTTAGAACACTCAATGCTTGCATGCCCCCCTGCTGCTGCTTTTGCAGAACCAAAAGCAGCTTGGCATTCAGAAGAAGTCCAATCCTATTGTGCTCCCTTTTTATTTTAACTAGTTTGTATGGAGGCCTCACTATTTGAGCTAAATGGGGAATAAACACCCTCTGGTATCCTAACCCAGAAATACCTGTAATTGTTTAGCAGTAGTTAGCCTAGGGTATGCCTGAATCTTATCTCTTACCATGGAGGGCATTACTTTTGTCTTACCCAACCAAATAACAACCAAGAATTTGACAGATAATCCGGGTCCCTAGACCTTGTTTTGGTTTATAGCCTATCCCCTCCTCTGTAGATGAGTGATAAGGGATGGTGTAGCCTCCTCCAAATCTGTAAGAGAATCAGAGGTTAACATAATGTCATCAATATAATGGAATAGTCTCACTGACGGAGGCGCCATCCATTTTTCCAAGTCTTCCACGTCCATTTTGTGGCAGATGGTAAGGCTATGCACGTAGCCCATCAGTAAAACCATGAATGTCCACTGGCATCCTTCCCACATGAAGGCGAATTGGTCTTGACTGTCTGGATGGTTATCAATACTAAAGAAAGCATTAGCCAAGTCTAATACAGCATGATATGTTCCCAGTTTAGTTCCTTATTTATTCATAATATCAGTAATGTTAGATACAGCCTCATGTAATGGGGGATAGCTTATTTAGTTACCTGTAGTCCACAGTCATTCTCCAGATGCTGTCTGGTTTAAGGAAGGGCCACAAAGGGGAGTTATACAGACTATGGGCTGGGAATATTATTTTTACCTTGGCTAATTCCAGTATAGTTTCCCCAATTTTCTTGTGACCCACTGGCAACCAGTATTGCTTAGTTGCCACTATTCACCAGGGTGATGGAAGTTGCACCAGAGGATACTGTGTTTTACCTCTCTGTACTTCTTTCATAACACTACTTCGTAGGCAAAACTGCCCCACACTAGTATGCAAACACAAACCTTGCAGTATATTAGTCCTGAGTATGTATTCCCTGATCGGAGAGATATACACAGCATGTTCCCTGGTGGAGAGCCCCCCAATCCTTAAAGTTAACTTCACCTTTCTTACTTCAATGGATTGCCCACCATACCTATCTACAACAGTAATCAGCCCCTCGAATTTTGATGGATTCCCATATATCAATGTACATTCAGATCCTGTATCTACTAAGGCAATCACCCTTTGTTTGTACTGCAGAGACCAGTGTACAGCAAACTCAAAATGGGGCCTCTGGTCAACCGAGACAGCTCACCTTTCCTCCATCACTTGGCCCCACCCCTAGGCTTGGGACCAAGGGAACATGAAATCTGTCTCGTCTTCCTCTGGAGGAGCACAGGGCTCCACTTGGGGTGAGCTAAAGAGGCCCCCCATAGAGTTGTGATTTCCTGCACATCCCCTTATCAGCCACGACTCCAATTACTTTTCCGGCAGGGGCTGAATCTGTTTCTCTTTGGGCCGCTGTTGCCACAATTTAAGCAGTGTTATATTCGGCTGCTTATCTAGTTTGGGGGGGTCAACCCCTTCCTTAGTTAGGTCCATCCACAGCTGTTTTCTAGTATCTTTCACTGGTTCTTTCTGATCTCCTTTTTTCCCTCTTTTCCCTTTTGGTGTGGCTTCTTTTTACCTTACGAATCCCTTTCTTTTGTCATATAATTTCATTTTCTCCTAGATCAGCTATGGTTTGTGCTGCCCTTTGAACTGATTTCCCTACTAGGGGTGACAGAACAGATACCAGTGTTCCATAGCAGCTACTGGTAGCCATCATATAATCCTGTCTTTCATTCCTCCAGTAAATTGCACGAAGTCCAGACCACAAAAGGGTCTCTTGTCTCATCTCAATTTCCTAAGGAATTTTTGCAACTCCTCTGTAGTAGACCACCGAGGGGACACTCCCAGGATGCTCCCTTCATCAGGCCATGTGGCACGACAGCCTGCCGTGATCCACGTCAACAGGGAGGCATATTTGTCATATTGCCCTGCTCCATAAATGCGCTGCTGGAGCAAGGGATGATTGGTGACCACCTCCATTTTTACCAGCTCATTCCCTGACAATATTATGCCACCGGCCCCCATATCGCATAAACAGAGCAGCCACCCGGGAATGCTTTCTATCCCTTTCTGCCGAAACTTAGTAGCCAGTTCTACCAGCTCTGCCGAAGTGTAAGGGTGGGCGCTTATATGCGTATATTTTAGTGGAGGAGGTAAATCTTGGGCGTTTTGCCATTCTGTTCACTCTTGCCTAGTCTTAAGCTTTGTATTATTGCTGGTCTAGCCTGAGATCGCCTGCTTTATGATCAGTTACCCCCACTTGGAAATTCTCATCTCCCTCATCTGAGGTATCGATCTCAGAAGTGGGCTCCCATTTTCTAGGGTTTCACTCTGGATTTGAAATTGCCACACGGGATCTTAGCCTGCAGCAGCCACTTTCCTTTTATTTTCCTAAAATGGCATGCCAAATAGTGCAGCTGGTCAGTGACTGACTCACTGTCATATCCTTGTTATCAACCTGAGTTTAAAAAGCCTCTCTTTCTAATCTTAATGCTTCCTTTAACCTTTGTCCTTGATTTTGCGACTCAGTTTCCTTCTCGGTTGCTAGCCTGAGCCCGTGGAGGAGAGGCCATGCTACTGTGGCAGCAGTGGCCTGTATTCTTTATTCCTTTGAATACCTCCTCTTTCCTCGACTGCCTTCCACACGTCTAGCAGTCCTGCTTCTATTTTCAGGGTGTCTCCATACTCACACAGCGGTTCCCAGTTAACAAGCTGGCGATATCAAACCGCATTGAACCAGTGGCCCATCCAGGTATTTCCCACTGCAACATTCCTCCCATACCCTTCATCTCTCCCGCAGCTGCGTCAATGGAGAGTTTCTCTGGAATAGACTGCCAACTACACCAGTTGTATCATGGGAGCCCCAAATCTGAGAGGGCACTTGTGTAGTGTTTGTCTATTCCAAAAAACTCACCCCGTATTTCAACAGGTAGAGACATTGGTTTGTTAGACTTACAGTAGTCACTGACAGCAGCTGGCCAACTAGGTATCCACACCACCACGGGACACATACAACAGTTACGTAGAGAACAGATCAAAGTAGGGGTGTAAATCATTTGCATGCTTAGCACAGACCCTCACCCAGCTCACATAACTCAAAGCCCATGGGAGATCTGGCTGAGTAGATAAGTTAATCTACTGGCTATTCTCTAGAGTGCTTTAACACCAGCATGCTATTTCATTTCCTACTTCCTCCAGTCTTTCATTTGTCTTAAAGGGGATGTGCCTTTCCTTGGGTAAGTACTTGGGCAGGGGTAGTTTCTCAGAGGGGGAAGGGGAACTCTGGTATGTACAGGGAGGGGGAACAGTGCTGTGTCCAGCGTTTTCTCTACAGTGGTGTTGTAGGAAGAATGCCAAACTAAAAGCTTGTATTCTAATCCAGGCTCTGCCAGTAAGTAGCTATCTGTTCCCTCATCTGTAAAATTAGTGACTGGACTCCATGATTTCTGAGGTCCCTTCTAGTTCTTGTATGCTGCTACTATAGAATCAGATAAGGATTCAAATCCAGCTCCACAACTTACTTCCTCTGTCACCTTGGGAAGGTTACTTCACTGCTATGCCTCAGTTTTCTCAACTTATGAATGAAGATTATGATAGTTCTTAAGTCATAAGATTGTTGTGAGGAGTATTTGAGAAGTACTGTGTGTCAAGTACTTAACACAGGGCATATGTAATGCATGGTAGGAGCTCAATGAGTATTAGTTTCTCAGTATTAGTTTGCTTCAAAAAAATATTATCCAAAAAACGACATGAATCATAGTTGCTTAGTGTAAAAAAAAAAAAAAGTTGATCACATCTGTACATCAAGGAAAAACAGTCCCATTTTTAAAGAAAAATAAGATATTATAAAAGACCTTCTGTGAGAAGAAGATCTCTATAAGTTGGAATCTTTGGAAAAGACTTGAAGTAAGGAATCAATATATAGTCATGAGAGATCTTATTAGAGAAAAGCTTCCGTAGTGGGCATGTTTGTTAAACAGAGTAAGAGTCTTGAATGCCAGGTTGAAGAAATTGTAATATTAGTAGTAGGTAATAAGAAACTACTGGAGCTTTTAGAGATTTGTTTTTATTTCCCTAATAACACATTGATATCAATACATGTAAATCAACCTGACAGGCTAATAATCATAGTTTAAAATTTAGGTCCTAAATTTCGAAAAGTCACTACTCTACCAATTTTAGTTTCAGACACACAGATGAGTTAATGAGACTTGAAATACTAAATATGGTTCAGGAAAAAGGTAAATACCAAACTGTAAGAATTAACACAGATAACAATGAGAAGCAAGTAATACTTTTTTGTTTTTTTAGGCATCAAGTATGGTTTCATCTTTTTCTTAAAAATCAACAAGATTTTTACTTTTGTTATTAAAATTATTTCATAAATTGAAAATAAGGAGTACTTTACAAGTATAGTTACCAGGTTCTATAGTAATTCAGATTTCTGTTGATAAAATGGCTTTATATGTAAAAGGATCCCAATTTACATGTATCTTGTTTCAATCATGTAGTAAAGGAGGTAATAATTATGTGTTATAAAGAAATGATACTGTTTGAAGTGATCATAATTAACCATATTGTCAGTATTGGCTGACACAGACAGTTGCTAGCTAGCTACAGATTTATCAGTGATATCACATGAAACATGATTTGGAGACATCAGGTATTTCTACAGTTTAATTTAATGACTTAGGCTCAAGTTTACAAAATGCAGTTACTCTTTCAGTGCTAACTAGACAGTTTGACTACTGAGTAATAGCTACATTAACAAAAGAATTTCACTTGTTCTTTATATGTCTATCTTTTTATCAACAAGTTTTTTCTTTCTTTTTTTTTGCGGGGGGGTCAGGGTTCCAGTTGAGCCATCTTCTCTCTTGTCACTATCACCAAGTCACAATCAGGTAATTTTTAGTAGATTTATTTTTTCCTTTTAGTTTTGATTTTTTAAAACTAAGATGGCTTTCTTTTATAATATTTAAATTGTCATTAATTGCCAGATATTTGTAAACTTTACTACCAGTCTCCTCAGTCATACGGTTAATATAACATGTACATGATACTTTGTCTAAAAATGGTGTTTTTAGACACCAGACAGAAAATAAATCTTTACCAACATGATGGCTGTATTGGTCCATTTCTGTTGCTTGTAACAAAATATTTGAAACTGGGTAATTTATAAGAAAACAAAATTTATTGCTTACTGTTTTGGAGGCTAGTAAGTCCAAAGTCCAGGGAACACAGCTGGTGAAGGCTTTCTTTGGTGATGACTTCAGTGACAGCAGGGTATCACATTAAGAAGATGGTGGAGCAGAGAGAGCAAAGAGATAGTTCCTAATATACTCTCTTTTTAAAGCCCTCCAAACCACGCCCATGACCACCATTTTTAATCCATTCACTACTGCATGGTCCTACAATCTAATTACCTCTTCAAGGCCCCACCTTTCAATTACCATAATAGGATTTGCCACCCTCAACATTACAGTGGGGATTAAGCCTCAATGAGGTTGACGGGAGCATCAATCTATAGCATTCCACCCCAAACCCCTCCAAAACTCTTGTCCTTTTCACACACAGATACATTCATTTCATCCCCAAAGTCTTAACTTGTTTCAACTCAAAAGTCCAAAGTTCAAAGTCCCATCTATGAAATCAAAACAAGTTATCTACTCCCAAGAAACAATGGTGGAACAATCATAGGGTACATATTTTTGTTCAAAAAGGGAGAAATAGGCTAAAAGAAAGGGGTTACAGGTCCCAAACAAGTCCGAAACCCAACAGGGCAGGAATTAAGTCTCAAAGCTGAAGAGTCATGTACCTTGACTGCATGTTCAGTGTCCTCTACATGCTGGTTCAGGGGTTGGATCCCCAAGTCCTTGGGTAGCTCTACTCCTATGGCTTTCCTGGTCTGAAGCCATGCTTCAGTTCTCACAGGCTGGCATTACACACTGGTAGCTCCACGATTCTGGGATCTCCATGGCAGTCTTGCTCCCATGACTCCACTAGGCTTGGCACTGTTGGGGTTTTTCTGCAGCAACTCCAACCCAACATTTCTGCTTGGCATTGCTCTAGTGAAGGCTCTGTGCAATGAATCCGCCCCTGTGACAGATTTCTTCCTGGGTCCTCAGGCTTTATTCCAAACATCCTTTGAAATCGGGGAGGAGGCTCCCAAGCCTCCACAGCTCTTGCATTCTGCAAGCCTGCAGACCTAACACCACATGGATACTGCCAAGGCTTCCACCTTATGTTTTCCAAATCTGTGGGTCCAGCCACACTTGGGGCCAACTTAGCAGCCAAAGCAGCTGGGGTGCTGGTGCTGGAAGCTGCTTCCCTAGGGGGCCCTGTGTAGCAAGCCAAGGAGGGTGCTTCAGGGCTGTACCCCAAGACCATTCTGTACCCAGAGGCTTCTGCAGTACCTTCAGGGCCTTTCCCCCTTTCTCTTGATAATCACTTTCTTTTGTAGTATTCCTTTTAATAAAGGGCCCTTGGGCTACCCTTGCTTTTGTTGCCAGGCCGAAAGTTTTCCAATTTTTTGCCTTCTGCTTTCTTTTCAATTATAAATTCTGGTTTTACCTCATGCCTTTTCTGCCATAACTCAGCATAGGCTGTTGCAAGTAGCCGTTCAGCTTCCTTAATGTTTTGCTGCTTAGAAGTACCTTCTGCCAAATACTCTGGTTCACAACTCCTAAATTCCAACTTCCACAAAGTTGTAGGACATGGACACAATGCAGCCAAATTCCTTGCTAGTTCACAGCAAGGGTGATCTTTGCCCCAGTTTCCAATAAACTCCTTAATTCTATCTGTAGAGGTCCTACAATCTAATCACCTCTTCAAGGCCCCACCTTTAAATTACCATAATAGGATTTCCCATCCTCAGGTTACAGTGGGGATTAAGCCTCAGGTTGAGGGGGGCATCCAATATACAGCAATGCCTTTATAATACATATAAGATCAGTACAAAGATGAGAAAAGATTAGCAATAAACACATTTCCACATTTCAAGAAACGCTAGGTGACTACAAAGTAAACTGCTTGGGTCAACAGTAGTTCCCTAGATTGATAAGTAATATTGATAAGTTGATCCTTATCCCCACTTGTATATGCAAAATGATACTTTTGTTCCAGTTACCACATACAGACTTGGAACTTCATCGGAGAAGAGAACAGTTAGTAGAGCGCACTCGAAGAGAGGCACAGCTTGCTGCCCTACAGTATGAAGAAGAGAAAATACGAACCAAGCAAATTCAGAGAGATGCTGTCCTGGACTTTGTCAAGGTGAATCATTTGAATTCATTGAATGATACTCTTAAAGTTATTTAGAAGTAAGTGCTTTTTTTTTTTTTTTTGCTGAGACTTTTGGTTTTTATTGTCCTAATTAAAATATCAACTTTTTTCTCTCATTATAAGGAATCTTGACTAAACAGTGTGATTGTCTCTCCTCCTTGTGATTATTTTACTCTTTAAAGTAATTTCTTCTACTTAATTAGCAGTCTGTCATCGGACATATCAGCTGCCATTTCCCCAATCTCTAGTGTCACAGTAATGATCAATAAGATAATGCAAGTAAGAGTGCTGTGTAAACTGTAAAAATGCCATGGAAAAGTAAACTATTATTATCAGAACCTCTCCCCATCTTTTTCACTCTACTAAATACCAAAACTTTGCTAGGCTTACAGGCTTAATCCCTTATAGTCATCTTTGATTCCTTCCTTTTTGTTGTTCTCCATACCCACTCAATTAACAACCCCTGTTAATATTTCCTTAACATTTTGTAGCCTCTATAGTAGCAACTAAACCTTGTTAATTTTATTTTGCCTATATTACTTTCCTTTTTGTTCTGAAATTGCCTTGGATTTTTTCTTCATAATTAAATAATTATTTGTAATTTTGTTTGCTAAATACTTTACTCCCTACTACATTCCTAGATCTTAGCAGGTTATAGCCCATAGTAAAGCTCAATAAATATTTGTTAAATGAATAATTAAATGAATGAATCACTCTTGTCCTCTAAAAGCTTTCTCTGCTGTGTTTCATAACTTTAGCCACAGACTGTCTTCTTTAAGTACTATATACATATCTGTTTTACTTGATAAATTCTCATTTTTTTGTATTTATCAAGCCCATGATGATGATCTTTAGCTCTCTTTTTGGCTTGATTCCTTTTCATCTAACAAGTTCTATTGCCTATTATTTTCTTTCTAAATTTAGGCAAAAACTAAAATTAATGTTCCTACAAACAGAAGTTTACAAAGGTACCTCTCTTAGTCTCTCCCTCTCTCAAAACCTTCTGTCTACCCTGAGATGTTTCCTCCTTTTGTGCCTTCTCCCCTCCTCTAATAATGAAGAGTTACTTAGCTAAGAACTGTTATTATGTTAATGACCATTTTATCATTGTCTCCTTTACCTTCTATCACTGTATTTTTGCTCAAGTCATTTAATGCTCACATACTATCTCTCCTAATTTGTCAAACCATTTCCCTTTCCCTTAATTCCCTATTTGATTTGTTACCAAATAAAAACATTTTTATATAGTCCTTTTAAAACTAATCAGAACACTTTACTGCTTTATTTAATCTTTGTAATAGGAGAGATGGAGGTATTCACATTTCACAGATAAGGAAGCTGAAGGTTTAAGGAAATTATGCATTGTAGTCATATACAGTAAATTAGTTTTCACAGTCAGGAGGCAAGCGTAGATTTCCTAAAGCCTAACTTGTTCATTTGTTCATTCATTGATTTGATAGACCTTTATGGAATGCTGGTTATATGCCTATACAAGGAATGTAAAGATGCATAAAATTAAGTCCTGCTCACCATGTACAGCTTGGATTTCATGAGGGAAATGAAACAAAAAAACCAAAAAAGACAGCTTGTAGTACAAATACCACTTTTATATCCAAGACAAAGGAAGAGTTTGAGAACAAGTATCATTCGAATTGACCTCAAAGGGGGTCAATATAGGACTCTGGAAAATGGGTAGGTAGGATATAGCCAGGAAGGAAAGAATGAATGATGGTGTAGAGGCACGTTCATTCTAGGTTGAGGGAATTTAAACAGGAAGGGAGCTAGGAATGAGCTTGTATGACTTTATACATTTAAAACAATGGCACTTAAGGGGAATACCAGCTTGCTTAGAGAGTTTGTGTTGAAGAATAATAGGAAAGGGCCGGCCTGTGGCTCACTCGGAAGAGTGCGGTGCTGTTCACACCAAGGCCACGGGTTCGGATCTGATATAGGGATGGCCGGTTCGCTCACTGGGTGAGCGTGGTGCTGACAACACCAAGTCAAGGGTTAAGATCCCCTTACCGGTCATCTTTTTTAAAAAAAAAGAATAATAGGAAAAATGAATTAGTGAGATGGTGAAGATGATGATAAAATTTTATTGAATTATTTATATTAACTCCTCCAATACTATAAAATAGGTACTGTTATTATTCTCTTTTTATGGATGAGGAAATTGATGCTCAGAGAGGATAACAATTTTCCAAAGTTTAAATATTCAGCTAGTCAGTGGTAGAGTAAGGATTCTAACAAGGCAGGCTGGCTTCAAACCCTACTCTCTGACCCCACGGTGCTGTATTGCCTCTCAGTAATTAATAATGGCTAACCCTTACTATAGTCTAAGTGCTGTTCTACGCATTTTACATAAATTAACTCATTTAACTTGCCTTCTGTAGAAGTCACACAGCTAGTAAGAGATAATCACATTGTAGACAGTCTTGGTTAAATGTCAAATTAGAGTTTGATCTTGATCTATTAGGCAGAAGAAAACAATTCTTTAGGAGAAAAACATGAGAAGAGATACTTACAAAAAACTAATCTACTCATGTTAGAATAGGTTAGGAAAAAAGAGACTAAAAGGAGAAAAATGAAACTGAAATTGCAATAATTATATTACAGTACAAAATGAAGGCATAAAATTAGATGATTTCTAAAGTTTCTAAGGATTGGCAGTGGCAAGAGCTTAGAATCAGAAATATCTGAATTTGAATTCAGCTTTGCCACTCACTATGCGCTTGACTTTTGTGTAACATACTTTGCCATTAGTTTCCAACTTTGTGACCTTGCACATGTCGTATAACCTCAATTTTCTTATGTCTAAATGTATTATTATATTTGTTTATCTCACAGAGTGAGAAGAATCACTTGAGATACTAAGAACATATTCTAAAACACTGACTACACAGGTGTTATAATGTTGTTATTTGACAGCATAACAGAAATTAGCAAACTGGGAAAATAGCCAGTTTTTGTTTGTGTTTGGTATGTTGAATATAGGGTGACAGTTGGGTTTCCAAGTGGAGAGTTTCTACAGGTAGTTGAAAATACAAACCTGAGATTTGGCTATTAGGAGAGAGCTACAGTTGTTGGCATTAGAGTGATATGTGAAGCCATTAGAGAGAGAGAGTGAGTTTACTGAGAGAATGTAGTAAGAGATCAATACTCTATGAAATATATTTGTATAGGTGTACATAATTTTTTTTACATTACTATTTATAAATACTTTTAGATGTATGAAAGTCCTGTTTGTCAATTTGTTGCTTTTCCTCATTTAAAGTATAAGATATTTAAGGGATGGGGCAACATCTTCTAACCAGTAAATCTGGTAAAGTGCTATATATGAGATAAATTAATGTGAGTGATTATTTTAATAAATAAATTTATTATTTCTAGAGTTCCAGAGTCTAACCAATTTGCCTTTTTGGGGGTTTGGGGGTGTTTAGCAAAAAGCATCACAAAGTCCACAAAAACAACAACTCCACTTAGATGGTGAGGTAAGTCTATGTAATCACCTTATTTTTGGGATTTATTATTCCTGCAATGGAAATGAAACGTTTTACATGTGATTTTCATGTTTTCAGTGATCAAAATATTGTCATTTTTTTCTTTTCTCCCTCACAAAATTCTACTTATGAGGGAGAAGAAGATACAGGCCAATGAGTGTATCAGAATCTATAAATGGGGGCTTTTTTCATCTATACACATCCATCTAGAGATTATATTTCCCTTCTCCATCCCCACAAGAGGCATCACTCCCCTCATCCATTTTCAAACCATACTGTGTAATGAGAGATAGTCCTGAGAGCTGTATCTGGCACAGGTCAATGGAGTAGATATTAAACAAAAAAGACTCTCTACATAGTATTTCAGCTTCAGTGGTCATTTCAATATTACCAATTATACTTCATGCACATTTGTTTTTTAATATCAAGTAGTACATTGTTATTACAAGTTAATATATAAAATTAATTGATTAAACTTCTAAAAATCTATGCACTATTTTGATCCATTAAAATGACACCTACAATAGGCCGGCCCGTGGCTCACTCGGTAGAGTGCGGTGCTCATAACACCAAGGCCACGGGTTCGGATCCTGTATAGGGATGGCCGGTTTGCTCACTAGCTGAGCGTGGTGCTGACAACACCAAGCCAAGGGTTGAGATCCCCTTACCAGTCATCTTTAAAAAAAAAAAAAAAAAAAAAGACACCTACAATAAATATTTTTATTATACTTAGATTTCTCATTAACCATTTTCCTTTTATCTTTATCTTATAGTTTTTTTCAATTTATGATCATCACTTTAAAAATGCATAAAGGCATTGTTTTATGTGAATTTTGACTTTGCTTTTTGTAAAATAAGTTATTTGGAAATCTAACGCATAGGCTATACAAGCATCGGTTTTCCACAGTGTTTCTAAGAGCTCAGACTCTGTGGACTGAGCTAGCTGGGCAGCCTTCCACAGTGTTTTTAAAGCACAAGTGTTTCTGGTGTGGGAAAGTGTATTGTTTAAAATGTTTCAAATTATCCATTATAAGGATTTTTAAAAATATTTTTGGATATATGATCACTACTTTTGTTTATATGAGAAATTATATATTGGTATAATACTTGAAAGATTCACTCAATTGTTTTCAGTTGTCTTTCTTCACATGGTAATAATTCTATACAAATTTTTGGCAACCAAAGTTTGGTTAATTTATTTTAACTTTTTTACCTTAACATTTCCTTCTAGATGGTCATTCTTCTGTATTTCATTTTCTAAAAACTAAAGTTTCACAGGAAAATAACGTGTTCAATTTAGAATTTTCCACTGTACTCTTAATTTTGTCTGAGAAAGGTAGTGAAAAGATGACTAGTCTAGAAATCATGATTCTTAGGTTTACTGTTTAATTTGTCACTGGTTCACTAAATGACCACAAATTCTTTATGTTATTGCTATAGCCATACTTCAGCTTTCTCTTCTGTGAACAGAAAATAATCTCAGTTTCCTTTTTGCTTTGGAAGGTTTTAGGCAATAAGATCATATTTGAAGTCGTTTAAACTCTTTGGAAGAAAATCAGTACTCAGAAGCAACTTTTATTGGCCATTACGGTGCATGATGATTGTGAATCCAGATGATTGTGAATCTGATTCTATATGTCAGCATCTTCAAAAGTGTGTCTTAATACAAGGGTAGTCAAAAAGTTCATGGAACGATGAAATTACAATATAATACAGATCTTTCCATGAACTTTTTGAAGACCCTGTGTATGTTTCTTTCCTTGTGTGTATATTTGTGAAATACGTCACACATGTGCATAGTCTGTTTTTGACATTGCTTCATTTTTCTCCACCTCTCCAGTGTCCCTTCCCATCCAGAAGGTCTCAGCACACTGATGATAGTGCCTTGTTAGTGGTAAGAGTCTTTCACAGAATGGAGTTTTACATTGTTATATCTAGAAATCAAAGAATAGCTACTCTACTTCTCAATCAGAAATTATCTAAATACCATAAAACATGATGAGTGTCATTACTAAATGCTTTACAGAACTGTTTCCCTACATTACCATTTGATTTACCTAGTGTTACAGAGTTCTGCAGGTATGATTACACATCTTTGTCAGTGCTTTCAAAAGTAAAATATTTGCATTGAGAACTATATTGGCTTTGTATGTGTGTTGGAGAGAGAGAGGGTATAACATAATATTAGGTTTTTTTAAATGTTGTTCCTAATTCCAGGTGCACTTACTTTATTAATCATTAGTTTGGTTCATGAGTCACCTGTGTGTTAATTGGAGTCCCTTACCCCATGGCACTAATTACACAACTATATGTTTGCATCCTGTTTTATCATATATTTTAAGCTACTGAAAATCCCACACTATGGTTTTAAATACTTAAATCCCTAGATTAGTCCTTCATGCTCATTTTTTAAACTCAGGGAAACATTAACTGGAATGCTATCTACTGATCATTTCTAACACTGTTTTACTTTTATGCCTGTTTCATCAGCTGAAAATGATTATAATATGAGAGCTTTAAAGTGTTAATCTGCCTTGCAAAAGAATTCTAACCATTTATAGAACTGCTCTTCCCAACATGTTCTTTTTTTAAAAAAGAAAAAAACTCTGATCCATCATGTTTTATGTTATTTTTTTCACAGTAGTATTGAAAACTATCAGTTCAAAAATTTAGTGTCTGTAGCAATTCCTGTCTTCTGTTAGTAACTGCTGCCATTGTGTATAGTACTGCATGAACTGCATGCTTCCACATGAGATTCTGATTACATAAACTTCCATTGTCTGTTAAAATTTCTGTGTATTCTGCAATCTTCACTTCTTTCCGGATGGATAAAGCACATTTTAACTGAGCAGTCTTATAGATGAATACAGCTAACAACTTCTGGAGTTTTAGTGAAAGTTAATTGGCATAAGAAGCAAATAAATTAACATAGGAAATTTTTTTTTTTTCCTTTTTGTCTTTTTTCGTGTCCGGTAACGGATAGCAACCCTCAGTGTCGCGCCCGTACCGGACCGGGACTGGCAATGGGATCGCAACCCTCGGTGTTGCACCCGCACCTCGCTCAGCCAGTGAGCGGGAACCGGTCTGTATGTGGGATCCGAACCCTCGGCGGGAGCGCCACCGTGCTCCCAAGCGGCGCACTGTAGCAGTGCACCACCGGGCCGGCCCAATGTAGGAAATATTGAGAGCCTCTGATGATCCAGACACTATCAAAATTATCTCATCACTCCTCACAGTGACCTTAACAGTTAAAGTTAAACTTATCACCATTTTACAAATGATTTCTGAGGCACAGAATGCTTTGTCCAGAATGTGACTTGTCCAGGGTCACATAGCTAGTAAGTACAAGGCTGGGTTTGAATCTGGATCTGGCCAGTTCAAGAACTGCATTAAACACTATGCTGTGTTGTCTCCGTTACTGTAATTGAAAACAGTTTAGGAAACTGAAGATGAGATTTAATAACACATGTAGTAAGTGATGTAAGGCTGAGTGCCCAGACTTTTTTGTCAAGGAAAATTAAAATTTGGAAAAACAACAGCAAAATCCCCTTAGTATGAAATTTGAAATAGCCTTCAGCCATTTGTCAAAACACATACATTTGTATTTTAGTTGTCAGTATTCCTGTCTGATCTTCTAAATTAGATCGCCCTTAAAAGCAAAGAATTTCTTCTAAGTTAAATGGCCTTTAAAAGCAAATTTCACATTTCTTTGTATGCTAAATAGTGTCCGACCAACATTGTGCAAAAAGAGTCGTGTTTTAAATAATACCTCTGATCTTCTCAAAACTACTCTTTAAAGACTTCATATTATTTTTAAAGTCTAAACGTCATAACATGGCCTAGAAGCTCCTGCAATCTCTGGCTACTCTTTCCCTCTCCAGTCTCATCTCTGGGTTCATGCTGTACTAGCATTTATTTTTTCACCTCTTCAACCATGGTAAGCCCTTTCCTGCATCAGGACCTTTATAAATGCTGTTCCCTCTACATGGAATGCCTCTCCCTCCCTGTATATATCTCTTGATTATTTCCTACTCATCTATCAGGTATCTGCTTAAATGTCACATCTTTTAAATGGTTTTTCTGCAAACCTCCCTGACCCTTAAATCAAATTTATGTCCTCACTGTTATTTTTTTTCTTCAGAGTACTTTTAATTGGGTGTTTATTGTTTTATATCTCTCCCCTATTAGACTACTAGATTGTAAGCTTCATAGACACAAAGATACTCTCTGTTGTGTTTACCTTTATATACTCATTCCCCATTGTAATTCCTGGGGATATATTACATGCTCAGTAAATATTTCTTTTCTTTTTTTTTTTTTTTTAAAGATGACCGGTAAGGGGATCTTAACCCTTGACTTGGTGTTGTCAGCACCGCACTCTGCCAAGTGAGCCACGGGCCGGCCCCTCAGTAAATATTTCTTGAATGAGCATGTAAATGCTATGCATTTAATAACTGCTCAGTAAATTGTTTCATGGTCAGAAGGTCTGATGATATAGCAAAGTAACTGTTGAATTTGACTTAAAGACCTTGAAATGTAGGATTTGAAATAAGTATTAGTAACATTTAATATCAGTTACACTAACATTCTCTTAGGACTGCACCTCAAGCTCCTGTTGCTTTCAGTTATATCCCTCCTCATTGTAAGAGAGTATCTAGGCTCATTTCACTTCCTCTATTCCTTTTCTCTTTCTTTGTCAACATAATGGCTTTTAGCCTTTTTATATTTGAGATTGGCAGTAGGTCCAGTACATTTGATTAAAAGGAGGCCAAGAAAATCTAAACAGGTGAAGTATACACAGTGTATTGCTGTTGTCACAGTCTTGTTCCTTGGTACAACACTTCTTTCTGCCTTAAGATAGATTTTGTTGCACTAATACATTGTATGTTACATACTTTTGGTTTTGTTTTTGTCAAAGAAAAAATATATTGCCACCTATTGACTCATTAAAAATAGTTGTATTTATTTTATTGACCATAAGCATACCATTTTCTAAATGTCCACATGTGATTTTGTCATTTATCCTGTGATTCAGAAATGTGAGGTCCTAGTTTTAAATTTTTTAAAAAAATATTTAACTTATAAAGTCTTTATTATATTTAAGCTTTTGGCACTTTGTACTTTTAATAGGTATAATATGATCTAATGCCTGTTGTGAAAGTCTTGTCTTCTCTGATTTCCACTTCCCATGTGGCAAAGGAAAAAATTGTCATGTTTTGAGCTTCTCTTAGCTGTAATCAAAATTCTAGGGCCGGCCCGGTGGCGCACTGGATAGTGCGCCGCTTGGGAAGCGCGGCGGCGCTCCCGTCCGAGGGTTCGGATCCCTCCCGCTCACTGGCTGAGCGAGGTGCGGGAGCAACACCGAGGGTTGTGATCCCGTTGCCGGTCTCCGGTCCGGTACGGGGGCAACACTGAGGGTTGCGATCCGTTGCCAGACACGGAAAAAGACAAAAAAAAAATTCTATATACTAAGGGCCGGCCCATGGCTCACTCGGGAGAATGTGGTACTGATAACACCAAGGCCGTGGGTTCGGATTCTATATAGGGATGGCCGGTTCGCTCACTGGCTGAGCGTGGTGCTGACAACACCAAGCCAAGGGTTAAGATCCCCATACCGGTCATCTTTTTTTTTTTTTTTTTTTTTTTTTTTTTTTTTTTTTTTT